GAGAGAGAGAGAGAGAGAGAGAGAGAGAGAGAGAGAGAGAGAGTAGGGTAGCGTGGGAAGCACAAGAAGAGTGGTGAGGCACAAACCAATCGGGTGAGAGATGTCGGTCACAAGAAGGCGGGCCGAAATTCCGCCGAATTGCCCAGATATTGACGAATAAATTAATGTCAATGAGCTCCCAAACGCCTTGAAGTTCGACAATCTTGATCACGACGACAGCAAAGAATGGCATAGGCCGTACGCCATAGCCGTAGCCATGAAGCTCTGACAGCTAAACGTACAACTATACAGAGCGTGGAGGCATAGGACCCTCCACGTTCCGTCCGCTCGCCGACCTTGATTGATTGATTGAAATATGTGGACAGGTGGGAGGAGGTGGTTCTGCCGCTTTGGAATCGCAGGACGAGCTATACAAAGACGAGAAATGGAACAGCACGAAATATAAAGGGGAGGGCAACTACCAGGAATAACTCAGAGCACCAGGGAAATGGGCCAGAGGCCCAGAGGGACCAGGGAAACTGGACCGCGGTTCCAAGGAGAAAAAGCAGATGGGCGATAATGGGCAGATTACGTTTTCTTTTTTTTTTTTTTGAAAGTGTGGCCCGATGGACCACGGATCAGATATTAAACTGACCAGAACAGATACTACACGTGATGTTAGCCAAAAGGCCAGATTATTATTATTATTATTATTTATTTTTATTTTTTTTAAAGAGGACCCCAGCAGTACATATGCAAGGGTCCCAACATCTCAAGAGATGTTGATGTTAGCCAAAAGGCCAGATTATACGTTTTCTTTGGGTGTGGTCTTCTGGAGCGAGCATCAGATCATCGGAACAGATATAGACGTTAGTCTTGATCCATTCTAGCCAAAAGGCCGAGAAAGGTACAAGAATGCGCAGATCACAAAGGGTGCTCTTCAGAATACCCGAACCCAAACAGTTTAGCTGTGACATCTTACCCACAATAGACTCTAAGGCTATCAAACCCCTGGAGGAGTTCAGGGGGGTCTTTTCACAATTCTCAAGTGGTCAAAATGTGTGGAGGGCCACGCAGAGTGTTGACAAATCGGACCCTGATCATGACCATGACGGATGGAGTGAGTTTAAAGGCCGCCAGGTTCCAGTAACCCCCCAGTAGCTTCCACAGGCAACGGGGGCTGATGCATTGGGTTAACCACTGCGTTTTCCAGGTGCTCAGCTTTAGCATGCTGAGGCCTCTTTTTTTTTTTTTTTTTT